ATCTTTGCGGTAGTTTCAGGTTCCTGCAGTTCAGTTTTAAATGGGAAGACTGCAGGTGGGGGGTCTTAACGGTTCTCATCGTCTTCACTGTCAGAGTTATCAGCTCTACTAGGAAGGTCACACAGTTCACTCCACAGTTCACGATTTGCATCCATTGCTTGCAGGTGTGGGCAGTTGGGTAATTCTGAAAGCAACTTCACTTTCCTCGTATGGCCCTTGGTGGCATTACATTTGCCACTGGCAAGAGATCCTGCCATTTTGGAGTGTAACTAGACTACACGACCTTGTGTCCATCGACAACACAGAGAAACGGTGATTTTGACCATCTGAATCTAGTCTCACAGCAACATGGTTGACTGTCTTCATGGCATCATTGATCTTCTTGGTGACTGGAGTAGAGTAGCAGGTAATGTCTCCAGAAAAAAGCGAGTCATACACAGGCTCAATATGTTCTATGAAAAATCGCACATGACAGCATTGTGTACTATCACTACCATCAGCTAACTGCATTGCAGCACATGTGCTGAACATTTTGCACGTACAGCTGTATGACACATTTCCTGTGTTTCTGGATTTGCCCCGACATAGGTGAGCAAACTGATTTTTCTGAAAAGTTGCTGACTCCAGGTTAATGTCATTCAATACCAGGATGTCGTGATTGTGATCAGTGCTATGAACTCTCCATTTAAGCACTCCAGCGCTGCTAATCAGATTGTGCTGAAACTGAAGGTATGAAGTTGTTTCTGGCATTACATAATCATCCAGCTCAGGAATTTCCAACTGCTCATCCACTTGAGGTGAATTAACCATTTTTGTACGGATTGGAATTTCCAACTGCTCATCCACTTGAGGTGAATTAACCATTTTTGTACGGATTGACCCTGCAGAATCATCTGATCTCTTCTGCTTTAGGGGCAGGTGATAGTGACCCAAAGAGGCGAGAATATTTTGGTTCTCATTCAAGCGCCAAAAGTACAAAACTCTGTTCCGCACTGATGTAGGGGTGTACTTAGATCGAGCATTACAAGTATCATCTGCAGTCAAAGTCCTCATGCTGAAGTATGCACAGTGGTGCACATGTGCTCTTCTGAAGCAGCTGATTTTCATGATGGAGAGCGTAGTCAGAGAATGTCGTCCTCTCAGCAAGTGGTCGATGAAGACGGTGATGACTTGCTGCTTTTTATAACTCCTGGTTGTCCACGCAAATGCCAGTGTGGACGTAGTAACTGAAAATGGTGCAGAGGTTCAATTTCAAAGATATTGGTAAATTGTACAGTGATGGCTCCTAACAATTAATCAACTAGTTCTTCTTACATGAATATCCGAAAAGACTACTGCCTTACATTGCTGCATAAAACGTTTTGTGGGTGCAGGTGATGCATAAGGTACATGTTAAGGTGTATCCCCCCAGAGATGTGAACACCCACAGGAGAATTATTTTTCAGATAGGCTCCATATGTAAGTTGAACTCAGTGCCAAATTATGGCAGGTTGTGCTTTACTAATAGCATAATAATAATTATTATTATAAGTCAAACTAAATACCTCGGCTTTTGGTCAGTATTCTGAATTTTTTACTTGCTTTTGCTAAATATGAATGCTGCTTCCCCATGATTCAGAAGTTTAGTGATATGGAGCCGTAGTTCTGGTTCATAATAATCATTAATTTTGGAATTCGTTGGTATTCACCACATGACGGGAAGGATAGGTTTCGGGTACATAACCCTATGGTGATGTAACACAGAAAAGGATGTAGGGATCAAGTCAACGATATAACGTAAGAATAAATTTAACGATTTAAAAATAGTTTTTTTTATAGATTTAAAGTTGAACGAGGGCGCCTCAGTGTGACGTTTCCACCTGTGCAATGCTCGCACGAGGTAGATTGGCAATATGGCGGTTTTATGTCGCTAGCCAGTCTGCTTATATGGTGAAACAAACTGAGCTGAAGCCTGAGAGCCGAAAGAGAGAGAGAGAGAGAGAGAGAGAGAGAGAGAGAGAGAGAGAGAGAGAGAGAGACAGACAGACAGACAGAGAGAGAGAGAGAGAGACAGACAGACAGACAGACAGAGAGAGAGAGAGAGAGAGACGTGCGGCGCCAGGAAACACGAAGTTTGTGACAAAACTATGCACTCGTGTGCGCGTCGAAGCTTATTTTCTTCTCATTCTTATCATATCTTTTGACTGACTCGACTGGTTCAACACCAACAAACGAACTCGCAAGAATGACATTCTTATTCTCGACCCATTTGACAACAGTGACCCCAACATTCCGGTCAGTTGTGTAATCATAGGAACCACGGCCTTGCTTGGAGAACACTTTGTCCTCAGTCAAGGTGCAGTTACGCAGGCGATCCCTTCTCATCGTACCAACAGAGTGAATACCATGGGTTTTTAGGTACTCTATCAACTCAAAACAACAGAAGAAATTGTCAAAGAACACTCTTGAGTTCATTTTGTTCTCAATGGTCTTGCATAGAACTGTCACAAATTTTGCAGATATTCCAAGGTTTTCTTCTTTATCAAACTCAATGTCACCAAATGTTGACGATCCAGCATAGGGTATGAAGTCATATATGATGCCAGTCACACCGGCTCGTGTAAAGAATTTGAAGCCCCATTTTTTGGGTTTGTTTTTAATGTATTGCTGTAAATTCCCAGCTTTTGTACCTTTGTAGGGGATCATCGTCTCATCCACAGAATATTCGCCTTCCGGTTCAATTTTCAGTAGTTTGCTTCTAACTCAATCTAGTAATGGACGAACTTTCGCAAATCTGTCATTTGGATCAGCAGTAGTGTTGTCACTGAAGTAAAGGAACCGACGAAGTTTTTCAAAACGCTTTAGTGACATGTGATTGGTAACGGAAGGAATCCGGGTGCTCTGGTTCCAGTAGTCATGATATGCAGGAAGTTTCATCACCACCATAATCATAAGAATAGCTATGAAACTTTTGATTTTGTCTTTGTTTGTATTGACGGACTTCCCTGAATTTTGGACAGAGTATAAGTTTGTTTGCGCCACAATCATTTCAATTAGTTCATCGCTGAATAAGTCAGAAAAATAGGTCAGAGGTGTATATAAACCAACAGGAACAGTTAATTGTCTATTATATGATATATCTCCACGAACTATTTCAACCTTTCGCCATTTGTATTTGTAAGTCTTCTTGGGTTTCCTAGTTTTGGTCGATTTTGATCCACTAGCAACTGGCTGAACATCTGGGTCTGTGCCTTCATCACCCTGATCATTATCATCTTCATCACCCTGATCATTATCATCTTCATCATCAGAAGAAGCATCCCTATCATGTTGGATGTCTTCACTTTTACTGTCACTAGAGTCTCCGGCATCAGATATATCACCGGATGTTGGAATCAACACTTTCCCTTTTCGGCCATAGAAGGATGCAGTAGAGAATGCCATAGTTTACCTAAAATATAAAACAGCATATTAGAAAAGTTATTATTATTTGTTAGTTAGTAAACCTTATACGGATATATCAAAATATAATACATTTATAATCCAAAACTTTGGGCAACATTATTATCTTTTAGTAACCTATGATGATCAATGTAGCCATATGTCACTATCAATTATTCCCCTTTGTGGGCAATGTTACCATATGGCTACATTGTTTTTACAGCATCAATTTTTACTCAATTGTGATGTTTTTTATTATAATAATGTTTTCCTCTTATTCTTGGTACATTTATCAAAATACTTATGCATTACTTACCAGTCTTCCAGTCTGATGTGGCTCAAAATCTATTCCAATTTGTAGTGCTATCTCCAGTGATAAAAACCACGGCCAAATCCTATTTGACACCCCCAGGTTTAAAAACCACTTTTTTTCTCCGATAGATGGCGCCACTACGCTATATACTGTGGAGTGTTACTGAGCGACTGTGTATATATATATATGCGGCATATATATATATATCATGTTGTATGATAGTATATAGTAATATTAAGAGTATATGTATATACTATATATTATATGTTTAATTTACGCTTGAAATGGCAAAAGATATGTATATATACGGTATATAGGCGACATAGATGTTTAAATATACATATGTATATATTATAATATATATATATAGGGAAGAGTATACACGTGGATATGCGCATGTACACAAGGGACATATATGCATATATAGGAGAAGGCTTTCGACTGTGCGACTGGTGCGACCACGTATGTTAAGGCATGATGAATATAAATCCCTTTGCGACCACACACTGCTGGAGACTTGCTGGAGAGCGAGATAGGGATGTATATACCTATGATTGCCGACAAGCCGTGCTGGAAATGGTGCAGCACAGTGCACCGCACGCACTGTATATAATTATGCAGATAGATAAAGGCGGCAGTTTTTCACATGTGTGGCATACCCCTGCGTGGTAAGGGGAAAGGTCAAGGACTCGTTGGTTTATCCGTGGAGCGTAGATAACCGTAGGTGTATGTCACAGAGGTATGATTGAACTAGAGGCCAACAGCCACTCCGTGGCAGCCATGAAGGGGCTAAACGATATATTGTGGTGCTAGTGCGCTTCTTACATTTCCCTCAACTGACAATAAACAAAGTCGCTGTATACAAAGAGTATGTGGTACGGACCCTGGCTTTTGTTGATGGTAATTGCAAAAGCAACCCTCACTGGAAACTGACGACGTTGACATGGGAAAGGGAATTCATCATCCGTTGTGTTCAACATGATCGATGGAATGAACACTTCATGTCCTCTGGTCACTATTTGCAATGATTGCCTTCAATGGAACTAAGACGTTGTTGATAGGATTTCCCTGTAAACGATGTTTGATGTGGTGGTTGACGGGAGGTCAGGAATTTTGTTGATGGCGAAGCGAAGGTTGCTTGGGTGGCCAACACGTGAAGCAGCGATATAAAGTTGTCCATGGGTGAAGACAGGATCTTGCAGCCACACACAGACCCGATGAAGGCTCTGACCCTGGCTTTTGTTGATTGTCATTGCAAAAGCAACCCTTACTGGAAACTGACGACGTTGCCAAAGGAAAGGGAATGCATCGTCAGTTGGCTGCAATGTGATCCGTGAAATGAACACTTCCCGTCCTCTCTGGTCACCATTTGCAATTGACATGCCTTCAGGAGGCATCCATGAACGATCTCCTTGACGATAAGTCGGGTGCCATTGCAAAGTCCCTCCTTGGGGTTAAGGTTCATGGGTAGGAGGAGGGGCATGCCTTTCTTTAGTGCCAGGCAATGTGGTGGCATGCCAGCAGTGTTGATCGTGTTTAGATACTCTGTTGGGAATCTTGTGGCGTCGTCCTCATCTATTGTGCTGTCTGCACTCCTGCACATGGTGAGGGTTTCAGGGAATGTACTCGAGATATGTTCATTGATGGTGTCTACAGCCGAGTTTTTTGGGGCAAGGATTGCACGCTGTGCAATCCATTCGTAGTCATTTTTTCGATCATGTAGATCTGGAAACACCCAGCTGACTGCCATCATGATAGACCGGTTAAGACTGTTGCGCGAGGTGTCATCAATGGTCATGCACATGTGAGGTGGTAGCACCATGGTGTCGTCCCTTATGTAGTCAATGTGACCATTGCCGAGTTGCAGGAGCCAGGCATCAAATTCCTTGAGCTCTTTGTCATCACCACTCTGCAACACGCGCATGTTCTCTGTCAGGTTGAACAGGGTGAAATGGCTCCACAGCTTTGACCGTTTCAGTGATGCATCAACAATCTGAGCTCGTGATCCTCGCTTGATGACAGGCAAAACTTGTCTGAAAATGATAGAGAACATTTGTCTTGTTAATAATCTAAAACAATATTAGCATCAATCTGAGTTGATTAATGAAATGGCTCTGCAGCTTTGACGACTTTAGTGATGCATGAACAATCTGAGCTGGCGGTGCTCCATTATTGACAGGCAAAAGTTGTGTGAAAATGATAGAGAACCTTTGTCTTGTTAATAATCTGAAACAACATTAATATAAATTTGAATTAATTGATCTGTTTAACAGTTTTGGGAAATTCTTGTATACTTATGTCATTGGCAAATTGATGTTATTTCTAGATTGCAATATAAATGTTGCTGTATTATTATGATTATTATTACTTATTGATTAGCGTTATAGGATTCAATGAATGAATCATGGAGAAGACATATTTCTATGTGTTTTGTAATGTATGTGCATTTAAGTTAATATGCTCACCTGAAGTCTCCAGCAAGAACCATTACTTTGCCCCCGAATGGTAAATCCTGGCTGGTGATGTCTCGCAGAGTGCGGTCGAGTGCTTCCAACAGGTGTCTGTGACCCATGGGTGCCTCATCCCACACGATGAGTTTGGCCCGGTCAATGAGGTCTGCCACTGCACTTTGCTTAGTGATCTGGAATGTTGTCGATTCGGTTATTTGTATTGGAACCTTGAACCTGGAGTGGAATGTGCGACTTCCCAGGAGAAGCGTCGCAACAATGCCACTGGATGCAACAGCTAGGGAAATGTTTTTGTGGTTGTCCAACGTTCGAGTAGCAGCCAGGAGAGCGTTGAGGGTGTAGGTTTTGCCAGTTCCACCTCTTGCATCAAGGAAGATTGCCAAGGGGATTTTGCGCTGAACAGCATCCATCACTGCATCATAGACCGCTCGTTGAGATGGTAGCAAAGCGTGGTTTCCGTTAAGGCGATCTGCTACAATGCTCTGCAAACTTGTGATATCGTATGCAAGTTCTTCTTGGATTACCATGGGTAGATGTGCGTGTTTGTAGTCGTCGTCTTGTTCCCGCACTCTCTGTCGCATGTCGTGAGGGATGGTTGGTAGGTAGAAATCTGGGAGCTCTTTGCTGTGGTTTTGCAAGCGACGTTCAATGTCCAGCAGAACCATGGCACGGAGAAGCTTGTCATCTGGTGGAGTAGGCATGTTCTGCTTCAAGTCATCCCACCACTCCATGTAGTGTTGATCAAACAATGCTGCTGGATCAGAAGGTTTGTTGAACAGCAGCAAGGTAACGAACAACTCTTTGATCTGGGGGCACATCTGTGTTAGAGCAGCATCTGTGAGTATGGTGTGCCACTCATTGTCACTTTGGAGTAGTCCGAGCGCTTCACATGCACCTTTGAAGGTGTCATGGCAGTGTCCATGTACTCTTTTCAGAACCTCATGACATCCTGCACCTTTGCTTTGGTCATGGTTGAGCAGCATCCGCAGGTAGTATACCTCTCCAGCTAGTGGGTGTATAGTAAGGACCCGGCCAATGGTGTTAAAAGATCCTCGACGTGGCACCCATTTCTTGGTTGGTTTGTGCCATGTGAAGATCTCTGGAAAGTCACAGTACTTCACAGCTGTGTCAGGGTGGGCCTTATTGTAACTCAAGAAACCGGTGAGCTCCGTGGTGTGGTCTTGCTGAGCAGCTTGGCGTTGCTGACCCTCTTCGTAATATATCATCTCCTCGCCTTGGAGGTGTACACGCATTGCGTACACAGCAGGATGACGTTCGCTGATATTGAAGCCGAAGAGACGCCAGCATGCCTCACTGGAGCCTAGTGATCGCATGTCTTAATAGTCGGTGACTTCATCCCTGACATGCACAGATGTCCGTGTGTGTTCTTCTGAACCTTGCACGTGCATCATTGCACGATCGGGACCCTTGTGTACGTACTTAAAAAGGTACTTTGCTGCAAGTGCTGAGCAGCAGGCTTCGCAGTTGATGTGCGCATTATACCTTGTGCTTGTGTAGGGGTTGTATGGGACAACCCAGCTATTGTCGACTTTGCGATTCTTGTAGAAGATTTGTCGACCGCCTTGCTGAGGGGAACGTCTTCGGTACGTCGGGTATGTCTCATGGGTGTTCCAGTCTGTTTCCTTGTTGAAGGCCTTCCGGTAGCCCTTGTCACACATTCCATTCTTCATGCAGGGTGCATTTGCGTACTGCGAACCACAGGGACCATGCAGCATGCACTGCAAGATGATATTCTGGAGGCGTTGCGTCTGCTGACGTTGCAGAGAGCCCTCTTCAAAGCTTAAGGGGTCAGGTGGGAGCTCGGCACAGACTACCTTGTCGACGTCTTCAGCTTTGTGCAGCCTGCAGTCCTGTCGAAGGATGATGAGGATGTGAGCATGAGGTAGACCTCTCTTCTGAAACTCGACAACATATAAGTGAGCGGTGACCTTACCAATGATGCCATCTTTGATGATTTCATCAAGGAATGCCCTGAGTTTCTCTTTGAATACCCGAGCGACGATGTCAAGTCTGTCAGTAGGGGTCTGGTTTGGAAGCAGCGCATGCTTGATTTCTTTCCAGCCAGGGTTGCAGGTCATGGTGATGAAGAGGTCAGGCCTGTGATACTTCCTAACAATGGCCATGGCGTCTTGAAATCGGCGGTGCATTTCACGTGGTCCCCCAGCAAATGATGGTGGCAGGATGACAGGTTTACCAAATGCTGGATCTCCTGGCTTGCCAGCTGCATCGTGAGCATGAACCATGTCACAGATGTTGTTGTAGAGCTCAGCACGCAGCTTCTTCTGGTTGTTCTTTAGATAGAAGAGGCGCTGGTTCTCTGCTGTTGCAAAGGCCATGCAGCAGTACTCTTGGAACAGGCGCTTTGCTCGAAATAGGGCATCTGACTGGTTTTGGCGGAGCTGGAGGCGGTACGTGTAGAATTCTCTTGACACCATGCGCTTATTGACTGGTTCTCCTGTCCGTGGGTTAACATGGCATAGCCCAAGATGCCAGCCATCTGTGCCGCGAGGAAAAAGCAAGATATAGTAAAGTGGGTCGGTGGCGCGGTGTGTGTATTGTAAGGTCTGCAATGCTCTTTCCCTCATATGAAGTACAAAGTCATTTTTGCCAGGTGCATCTGCCATCAGGACTGACACTTCCTTAAAGCTGCGGTTGTACCGTCTGACATGCTCTCCTAGAGGTCTGGCACTCTCGCTGATGACAAAGTTGACTTGACCAAGTTCAGCTGCAGGTATGTCACAGGCCTGGATGAAATCTTGCACATAGGGGTTGCATTGCCGAAGTTGAAGCTGAAGAGACTGCAGCAAAGTTAACAACATGTTGCGCTGGATGATGGTAGTGCTGGCAGGTAGGTGCATGTGTCCAAGGCGAATGTGTGCCTCCTCTTGGTCATGGTCAGGGTCATGGACGTATATCTGTGCAAACTGGGGAGTGTCACCTGTGAGAAGTAGAAATGTAAATGACATTTTTAGATATGATAAACTTAATAGATATTTCAATGCATTAATTAAGATTTAAATGATTTTGATATTTTAGGCATAATTCAGAGACGAAAATGACATTATTAGATATGATAAAGTGAATAGATATTTCAATGCATTAAAATGTAAATGATTTTGATATTTTAGGCATAATTCAGAGTAATTTAAAACAAAGATATGAAGGTGTGTCATTGACTGACTGTATTGACAACTTGTTAAAATGTTGTTGTCTTCATCGAATATGTATGGACTGAAAGGTAAATGGTGACAGTGATAGATTAAGAAATTTAAATTCTGAAGAACGCCATATAGTTACTTTATTGCAGCAGCTTGTTGGAAGGTTGTAAATTGTTTAACAATTATGTATGCAAATTTAGATTATATGATCATTAGTTTAGAAAATTGGTTTCGAAAAAAGAAATATTACCTGAGTTGGCTTGGAGTGGGCCGACAAAATGGTACAGTTTGCCCTGGATGACTACGCTGGGGTTCCATCCACTGCCAGGTGGTGGGGGTTCATGAACCTTCTGTGATGCAAGGGCAAGGGCATTATTCAGCTGCCGAGTATATTGTCGAAAAAGGCGTGCTTGTGGTGTCATACCTTGCCACAGATGTGTTAACATATGAGTTGGGTTGGGAAGTGGTGGCAGTGTGATTTTGCTGCCACTGCAGCAGATGGATGCAGTTTCATGCTTCCAACGCAGGGCTTTGCAGTGGGTGCACGCATTTGTTGGGGTGCCATCAACTTTAATTAAAAGACCAATGTCATTGTTGTTGATGTGTTGGTTTGCAGACAGTACAGACTGGGCATCTCGTGCCAAGCCATTGGCATGCAATTTATGCGACGATTTGCGATGTCGGTCCCTGTTGGCTTTGAGTGTTGATTGGCGTTGCTCATCAGATTCTGAAGTGCGTACTTTGCGATGTTGGTCGCTGGCGGCTTCGAGTGTTGATTGGCGTTGCTCATGAGATTGTGAAGCGCGTGCTTTGCGATGTTGGTCGCTGTCGGCTTCGAGTGTTGATTGGCGTTCTTCATTAGATTGTGACGCTCGAGATCTTTTAGTCTTGGGTTTTTTGGCTGTAAGATGGTCTTGCAAGTCGTTGAAAGAAGGGGGCAACTTTTGCTTACTTTTGTGTTTGACAGGAGGCATTACGACTGAAAGTAGATAATAAAGAACATGACTGAATGAAACTGGCATAGAAAATTAGAACAAATGATATGAAATGATGTATGGAAATAATTGTTTCTGAATTGTTATAACATATCAAATGGATTGTTACGACCTTGAATTACGTGGAACTCACTGGGAAAATGTGCATGTAAATATGATATAGTCGAAATAATCATGGTTCGAAATATCATGTTTTCACTTGTTATTAAACATGCAATTTATGATTTCGACCTTTAATTATTTGGAACACTTCAGTTTCAAATCTATAAGCAGATAAATTTCTTACTGGTATTCTAAGGCTAGGCCAAGGGCAAAGCGAATGCTAATGGTCGAACTGATACCGTAGTCTGTAGTCATGAGGCTATATTAAGCGAAATGTATTGGTTTCACTTACTGAACTGTGGATCTCCTAGTCTGCGTGCGTGCGTGTGTGTGTGTAAACGCCCTCGAACAAATACAAGGAAACAATACACAATTTTTTTTAGAGAATAATCATTGTTTTCGACTTCCGAGTGGGGATAGCATATGCAACACAACGATGACGCGAACATCTCATGGATTCAGGGGATATTGCGTAGCAATATCCGCCATGAACGAGCCGTACATTTATCGCTCGGCACCGTACATACAGCGGTACATGAACTCATCGAGCACACCTGGAAACATACTCGTCCTGACGCCGTGCATGTGCTTGATGCGCAGCTTTGCCTCAGACCAGAGGCCTTCAATGGTATTCGTGCACACTCCGTCCGGGGAAAGAAACTCGGTCTTGTGGCAGACGGTTTGATGATCGTAGCCGAGCCGACGTAAAGATTTGTAGCGGGCGAATTCATCGGAATAGATGGTGCTGCCATCTTGTACAGGTCGTTGTATGAGCGGGAGCAACGTCGTTCGCTTCCGATCTTTCATGATGTAGAGCACACATTTACGGGTGTGGCGTTCAACGATACCGAAAACCCAATTGGACGACGTGGGAGCGTTGCCGCGTTGATACATGACGGGATCTCGCTGTAGGCACTCCGTGCATATATCTCGGCAGAAGTTGTACCAGTCACTGAACGTCGACTTTGCCAAGTCGGGTAGGAAGGTGCGCACGTGCCTGATTTGGACATC